TTAACATACAGACAACTACATGTACATGTATATAAGTGAGTACTATATGCTAAATAAGCTATTTATATAACGATATCGCAAGTAAATCTGTTAATACTAAGCTTAACCCTATCTAGACCGGGGGGGGGGTAAAAGTGCCCGCGCCAACTTTGATGTCACATAGCGTCTGAATGGCTAGGGCTAGAATGACCAAACTTGGTGACTTTTCCTAAAAATATTGTTGGCAACAATTTTCTATCATTGGAATAAGATAGTAATTTTTTGTGTTGCCATGGCAACGGGTTTCTGACAGGCATTTTTTGCTAAATTTAGTAATTTTTGTTTCAACAATAGAATTTTATGGGTTTTATGTCAAGTTACTCATGGTTTCTAATATTAATAACATCCCATATGAATTTATGTAAATTTTATCATTAAATATGCATAATTAGTACACCATCCTCTGAAAATTTGGTAGCCATACGACATACCGTTAGCGAGTTCTGAGGGGGGGCCGAAAGAGCCCCCCCCCGGTCAAATCTTGCTCAAAAAAGCCCGGTCTAGATAGGGTTAATAATATCGCTGAATAGGTCTGTACTATATACGTTTAACAATATCATCTAATAAGTTGCAATATAATCAGTTTAAAAAATAATTGTATATTATGTTATATGATATTAACGGATTTTGATAGGGCTGGTCATGGGAGATTTGCTATATGCCATATTCGTTTAATAGACTCGTAAGATCGGGCTAGTTCTGTATCGATCTGTTCTGGGGAGCGGGACAACGAGCTGATTAGACTGTTTGCAGGTTCTAACGTGGGTCGTCTTACGGTATGGTTCACGGCGGTCGGTTGCTAGGCTAAAAGTCGCATTACTAGGGAGGTATCGGGTTACAGAACGTGTTCGAACGTGGCCGCGCGGGAGTCCCGGGCCGGCCCGGGGGCAACGGGTAAAATTTGAAAATAAACAAAAGTAATTGGAGAGTAAATACTCGTCAAAATAAAATGTAATAAGTGATTTTGTTTACCTCAAATGTTATTCTTGCACTGCCTTTGCTCCACTTTGTGTACATTTGCTTCCAAATGAGATCAATTTCGGATTTCAAAAAGGGTTCACGAGAACCAAACAACTGATTTTAAGAGGCCCCGAAAATTAAAAATAAGGTTAGATTTTTGGATTTTTAGAAATATTACAGTAAATTTAAACTTTCTGTCTTAGGATTTTTTTATTTTTTAACTAAAACTCGACTTACAGTCAAAAGAAGAGCTAAAAACGCAGTGTTTTAACTTTAAATACCGATAATTCATAATCGCGGCCATATTTAAAAAATCCCTAAGACAGAAATCTGCGGAAATCGTTCCTCTTCCAAACAAGCCCTCAATGAGGTAATTTGAGCGATTTTTGGGAATGGTTAAAATACCATGTTTGCACGCATGCTGTGCCACTTGGATATGGGGACCTGGATTTTATAACAGCGTCAACAAGAATTCTGACCTTCAAGGTCACCCACGATGACGGCAGAAGCTTCGTTACATGTTACATATCCACAATAAAATCACGGCATAGATGTTATGTTTTGAAAACGGTTCATATTTGTGGAAAGGTGGATTTTTCCTGTTCCGTGGTTCCCAAGTAAAAAAGGGCTTGAAGTAGCCGGTTGTAGCGGCTTTACTGTAAATGACCGCGGGTAACCCCAGATCGAACGCCCGTTCTATTTGAATGACGTCATATCGAACAAGATTCCCGGGTTCGGGGGGTTCGATCTCCATAGTAGCGGAGTGGGACTTTTGGGCCCAAATCTGACCATCGTGGTTGTACATAAGAAGTTACATAAGAAAAATATGCTAAAATGCAGCTTCTTGAAATTCTTGTCACAAAGTCACAGTCAGCATTTAGCCTCGTATACCCATACCCGGGACCCATACGAGTACCATATTGTTGTTCATCGGCCATTTATTTGGCGACTGCAATTGTAAATTATTCCGCCATCAAAAATTTGAACAGATCATTTTTATGGATTTATAAACCCTATCTATATATACCGGACCAACGCCAACTTTAAACAGCGTTTGGTGGGGTCGTGTGGCGCAACGGCAGCGTACGCGATTCGGAATCAAGAGGTCCCGGGTTCGAGTCCTGACATGCCACCGATCTTGTGCCCTTGGGAAAGGCACTTTACACGACTTTCCCCACTAGACTCAAGTGAAAATGAGTATTGTCTGTCCAGTATTCGTTTCTATGTGCGGGACACAACACCAGCAACAGCTGCCTCTGTTCTGTGTGTATTGCACTGTTGCAATTTCAATAAATCAAACAGCGTCAAACTTGGTGATTTTCCTTGAATATTGTTGGCAACAATTGAGGGGAACTAGTTAAAATTATTTTGTGTTGCCATAGTAACGGGTTTCTGCGAAATATAGTAATTTTCGTTTCAACAAGAGAATTTCATGGGTTCATGCCACACAAGTTCTCTAATTTTGATAAAATATAATGTAATTTTATGTAAATTTTATCATTGATGATACATAATTTATGCTAATTTGATGACGTTATTGGTAAAAATCGAAGATGGCGGGCAATATTATTAGATCAGGTATATAGGGGTAATTTTCCTTGAAATTTTATCACTACACGGTGGTCAAATCTGGGCTGCAAAGTTCCCACATTTCATAGAACCCGAACTGTGTTCGATGATGTTCGATCTGGGCAATTCGAATCGAACCCGCGTTCCATTTCGGGGTCACCAGCGGTCATTTACAATAAAGCGGCAAAACAAGCCCTTCTGCATGAGTGCCTCGCAACAGATAAAAAACAACACTTTTCTATAGATACAAACAGTTTCCTGGACAGTACATGTCCGCTATAATTTTTGGTGGGTATGTAATATGTAGCGAAGCTACTGTCGTATCCTTGGGTGACCTTGAATACTGTAATGATTCTTTACGCTTGTACGAGTATGAATAACACGGTGCACACTTTTGGGAGATATGACATGTCTGCAAAACTCGTTCAAACCTGAAAACATGGAGAGTCAAACATACCCCATTTACGGCTCAAAATGACTGTAACGGTTGTCCCGACAATCGTGCTTTTGGGATTTTTGAAAAATGCCCTCGATTTTGAATGCGAATTGAGTGCGAAGAAAGCAAAAAAAATCGATTTTTTCCCCTATTTGTCGACAAAAACTATACTTTAAGTCAGAAATTAAAAAATCCCAAAAGCACGATTTTTTGTCTTATTCCTAGTCGTCGAAAAATATAACTAGAGTTCCACGATCTCATACCTTCGCCAAATGATGTTAATCTTTTTGACTGACAAATTATACATTAGATTCTTCCCCCCTGATTTAAGAAATAGGAACCTAATTTTCATGAATTATATCATTTTATCATAATCTCAACCAAAAGACAGTCTTATATTAACAAACAATGCATTCTAGTATTTCCTAATAAATTATGCAAATGAGGTCCTGATTTGAATAAATTATGTTTAATGATGTTCACCTCAACTTAACTTTCAAATAACACAAGTATGAAATTCCAGGCAGTTATCATTACATAATTATAAAATTTTCTCATTAATTATGCAAATTAAGTCATTATTAACATAATCAATATCTGCCTGTGTTTCTCTCGTTGTCGATTACCAATGTCACAAGCTTCAATTGTCCTATCATGGAATGCAGCTGATTTATAGAATTTCCCCATAAATTATGCAAATTACATCCATATTTGCATAATTGTCACATAATTATATTAAGCATCACGTAAGCTACCTACATACCAAAAATCATGACGATCCGTCAACCGGTTCGTGAGTTATCCCCTTTTGAATATTTTCAAGAATATATCCCTGCAGTTCCAGAGCAAGCCGCTAGGGGGCCCAAACTCACGTCACTTCTTCCCCAGCACAAGAGCTACCTATCATCCAAATTTCATCACCATAGCATGTCTAGATCATGAGATATCAAAACTGGAAGTTCAGCTGCAGTACCATAACAAGCCGCTAGGGGGTCCAAAATCTAATCATTTTGAGGTCTCATCAAGACCTACCCACCTACCAAGTATCAAGACAATCCATCAAGGCCTTCTCAAGTTATCGTGTTTACAGACACACACACACACACACACACACACACACACACACATACACGAACGCCTCTGAAAACATAACCTTCTTGGCGAAGGTAAAAATCAGTGATCTTGCGTAATATGTGTAGCCAGGTTTGCTCGGTGATTGGCTAAAATATGGCGCTGCGAAATCCCGAAAATTATCGACTTTTTTTCACGAAATACGAAAAAAAGTCCATTTAGCGCAAAAAATCACCATTGAATGTATGTAAAGACAATAATTTTATTTTATTTCAACAAAATTTTCCCTTCGATACAAGTTTGTTTATTTTCAAATGTTTTACGGTTAGCCCAAAATTGCGTCTTGTAACCCGACACTTTATCGAACGCCCCCAGCAATGGGAAAGAATGCCTTAGTGACAGACCGCCGTGCTACTTCCAATTATTTTGACAAAAAAAAGTTCATATATACGTCTTGAGTCTATTTAATGTATTTTAGGCTTTAAGAAATGTTTTTTTTAAATTCACGTTTGATGATCCAAGCTGGCGGATAGCTTGAATATGCATGACGTCGCCGTTGTTGCTACGGGCAACATAAGTCTTTGTAGGCACTGATATATCATCAAAAACACATATTTGGTAAATGTATTTTTTGTACTATTTACGTAATTATTGTAATTGTTGTTATGATTTATTGCTAGCACACCGTGCTCCTAAAACTTGGTGGTCATACAAACGAGCTTCCCCCTCTTCCCCCCTGCCCCACGAATCCCAAAAAAGGCTGGTCTAGATAGGGTTTAGTTACAACTTTTCATGTTTTTCTTCGTTCACAGGTTGCACAAATAACTACGTGAACTTTAGAGGACATTGCTACAAGAGCTATGTGGCTAGAATCTCACGCGATGAGGCTAGAAAGGCTTGTGTGGTTGACGGTGGGATTTTAGCCATGCCCAAGAACAGTGCAATCAATAATTTTCTCGCCAGTCTACAACCGGTGACGGGAGGTCGCTGGCTGGGGTTGACTGACCCGGATGGAGACGGACAGTGGGTGTTTGAAGATGGCCAAATCCTGACGTCATCCGACTACTCCAACTGGCAACCCAACGACGAGTCCAACGGTTACGGCTGTGTTGGATTTTGGGGGACAGAGTCCGTATGGGATCCAAAAGGCTGCACCAAGCCTAGGGGATTCATCTGTCAGAAAAATCAAAGTATGCATTTTGACCATCCCTCTCTTATCATCACATGGTAACTGGAATATTGTATATTCAACCAGATTCAATATGTATATGGAATACAGTCCCATGTAATAAGCTGAATTGAAGTCTAACGTGTTTCTGTAGTCTATACGTTACGTATTTTATGTAACATGTGACAAAAAAGCGAAAAACTTGTCCGCTAAGTGGGCTGTCATTTAATAAGTCATTGAAAAGGATTTAGTTAATATTTTATTTTCATTTTTGATATTCACTTGAACTCACCCAACATAAATGGAAGCGCCAATCCGTTTGGACATCACTTGACAGCATTGAACAAAGCTAACAATTGATAAACAATAAATTTAATTTCTATAATTAGGTTTACAAAATTTATGCTAATTTGATGATTAATTTCAAACCTTTCTGTCAAACAATGGCATGGGACAAGATTGTTTGACATTCAGTTGGGGAACACTTCAATAATTCTGCACAATCATTCTGACCACTTACCCCAACAAGTGCATGTCAATATCTCAATAGAGATAAAAATGTCACATTTGACAGATCAATCGACCAGTGTGTAATGTTGAGATCTGAGAATCACACAAATTAGATACACTAGACATGGAATCCTTTGTCATTTATAATGCACATCTAGCACTGTTCCCAGACAGCCAAACATGTCACACTCCACAGAGGCCAGGTATCACTTCACCTGATCCACGGGCACCCTTCTTGTAATGTTTTCACACTGGGCAGGGTCAGGGCTATTATCAAACAATAGTAGAAATCTGGAAAATTCAGGGTCAAAGGTTGTATCTATGTGTTGCTAAGGCGGCCGACGCCCAAATTGCTGGGGGGTCGTGAAATGGTCTTAACTCTACTGAGATTGTCCGTATCAGCTAAGATAAGTTCTGGACGTCCAATTTACAAATATAGTTTTGATCGACACGGACCTCCACTGTTCCCTGGGGGACTTCCGCTGCGGTGGAGGCAACTGTATCCTGCCATGGCGGCGTTGTGACGGGCATCCGGACTGCGCGGACGGTAGTGACGAGGAAGATTGTGGTAAGTGAACTATAACCTTATCCAATTCAATTCAATTTACTGGCAGTTGCTCCTAACATACAATTGCTGTGTCCCGTGTTTTATACATGGTGCTTTTTCAACATAGATAACACAAATACGTGAATATTGTGAACATTTGTGTATAATGTATTAAGACTTATTTACTTATCGCACTGATTCATATCAGTACGTTAAGTTAATAATCTTTCGTGTTGCCACGGCAACAGGTTTCTGACAGGCATTTTTACGAAATTAAGTACTTCCCGTGATATTGTTGCCAACAATGTTTTAAGACAGATCACCAAGAATGGTGGCTCTAGCGCAAGCCGTTCGAACGCTATTCGGCGTCAAAGTTGGCGCGGGCACTTTTAGCCCCCGTCTAGATAGGGTTAAAGAACTATCTCCCTCTATTACGTTCGATATATTAATATACATTGTATCTGCTTGTTCTAAATTTCAGTGTGCCTGTTTATTCCCGATGGTTTTCGCCTCAACAACAGACTGACAATGCTACCGAACCAACTTGGGCAGGAGACGTTTGAGGCGATGTTGAATTCTTCTCTCCAGGAACTGCTCAACACTTCTAACGGCATCGGAGAGAACTACCATCCGGAATTAGGATACTTCGTAGCTACAGTCATTTTCCCACAATGTAATGTCTCTCACGAGAGCTCAAGTCACTGCCCTCCGTCACCAGGCACAGACAACACTACAATATGCACGTAAGTATATACGATGTCACATTGACGCAGTTGTTTCTGACATTTACGGCACGGTCACATTTGTCGCCCTAAGATATCCAAGCAAGCTGTGACAGCACCATCCACTTACAAGAATCTACGACGGCCATTTTTGTAACATTTGGTCTCACAAGAAGAGCTATGTATAGCTCTTAGTTCAATAGATCTTGTTTACAAAAAGGTTTTCTTGCTACATGAACAGAAAGCTCTTATAACAATAAATCTTTTCTTGCTGGCAATTTGTTTCTTGCTACAATAACAGGTAGTTCTTTGTTCAAGATGTATTTTTTGGTAGATGTATTTTTTGGTATGTTTGGTAGTGATCCTAGGACGATCGTATGACAAATGTCGCCATGTCAGGCAAATATAACCATCTTTAATGGTGAAATTTTATTACATGTACATGTAAGTTCTAGATCTCACCACGCCTAGTGCCTGCGTAAGACAACAAATGTTACGTATTAAATTTCCCACTCCCACCGTCTGCTACTAGATATAATTATTTCTTAGGGGTTTACAACTGGTACCATGCCGCTCGTGGTGTGAGGAAGTGCTCAACATCGCTGATGACGAAATAAGGGACCTGATTCCTGCACGTGAGCTGTTTCCAACATCACAGGACGGCTGTTGGAACCCTGAACCAACAAAGAGGGCAGACGAAGGTAAACTGACACATTTTATAGCGTTTAAGGCTGCCATTTCAGTCGCTTTCTACCGTTGCCTAATAGTATCTTTATAACGTATAAAGAAACCAAGTATCTCTCGTCATTCGTTAACCGTTTTTGAATGATTGTGTTTGGTTTTTCCATAGCGATAATGCATTTAGCTATATAATTATGTACTTCTGAATACTTTTCTTCCCTCCGAGGAAGGACACAGTCTTTTCGAGCAAGGGTTACCTGTCGATATTTGTGTGTTCGCAGCTGTCACTCACGGTTTGCTGGACGGACTTCTTTGTCTCTCGGTATAAAATTTGCTATTGGGGCCCAAATTCTGCTCATAGTATTTGCCTTCGTCAGAATGGTATGTTTTCGGTTTGGACTTGGTGGAGCAGCTGTTGGCCAACATCATAACTCAAGAAGTTGTCATTTAATCTTTTTCTTAATATTATAAGTATTTGGGTAGCTAGTGTTAAAATTTAGGTCATGTTTAAAATGGTTTACCTGGCTTTTTTCCAACGGTACGTCAGCGGGTTTTTGTGCATTCTGTGATTTTATGCATTCGGCATAGCTCGAGAAGCTTTGGATGGCTCGTGATAATATCTGATAGATTACTATCGATAATGGGAACAAACTTCAAGTCTGGAGATGGTTATTCTGCCATGCCCCTACGTTGCTTTAATAGGTTCTGATTTTTGAGTTTCTGTTTGTGTACAAGGGCACAGAGATTACAACACCAGTTACAGTTATCAAAAATCTCTCTTCTTCCCAACTGTTACTGTTAGAATCTCATTATGCATTCTGTCCAGTTACTCGCTGTTTCATCCTCTCCTATGAGCGTCAAAATCTGTCTTGTTGTTCTCCTGTTGCTTCTCTGTTGTTTGCCTGGATTCGTCACCTATCAGTGATAGCATCCCACTTCTTGCCACCACATTAAACTTGATTGATAGGTATTTCCTTGTTATTGTCTACCTTAGTTTGCTACCATGGCAATGGAAAGAACTACCGCGGAGGTTGGGATAAAACAGCATCCGGCGCAGATTGTATGGAGTGGTCAACTGATTATAATACCGACGAGTTCTCCTGGGCTAACCTGGACCACAACTACTGCCGCAACCCCGCCGGTCTGAATCGGCCATTCTGCTTTACTCAAGACGGTAGCCAGGAGGAATGTGGCGTCATCCCATGTCGTAAGTCATGTCAAGAAGCAATACACAATGTCAAAGATACTTCATGGGTTCCAAAGCAGCCGTTTACTTGATTATTATTTATAACTGGCGTCAATTATGCACTTTATATAAAAATCGTTAAATGGGGTTCCTTGTCTTATGACTAAGGCCTGTTTCAAAATCTACCCCCCCCCCACCACACACACTACAACACACAGATGAGAATGTCTGCTGGGACAGAGGCCCTCCAAACTACGGCAAGAGAAGTCCAAAGAAAAGGTTCTATCACGTGGGAGAAGGAGTCACGTATACGTGCAACGAGGGTTACACCCTGGAGGCAGGATACGCCAGGGAAGTGAGGTGCACAGAAGAGGGTATTTGGGAGTATGACAAGCCCGATTGTTCGAGTAAGTTTTAAAAATCTACAGTTTTCTTCAGCCAAAATAAATTTGTTGAAAATGTGCTAAGCTATTATTTTTGCCTTATTTTTACTTCCATTACCAAAACAATTAATAAGTTGTTTCTCCTTTAACGCACCCTTTGCCAACATGTCTTTTACGTAAATTCTCCAATATGCTTCGTTCTGTGCCCTAAGCCGATTGTATAGCCGAGGAAAATCTATTGCAATATTTAAAAAAAATACGTGACTAATTTTTTTATGTTTTTGATATTTAGCAGTAGGTACAGCAAGGCCATGGATGATTGATTTATCCATTATTTAATTAGCCTGTCGATTATTGCTTTTATAAAAATTGACATTCATTTTATTATTGTTAGTTGACCATAGACGAAAGGTGCAAGATGAGGTGCTAGAGATCTACGGTGCAGGTCTGGCTCCTGAGAATATTACCATTATCTTTAACGGATCTGTGGGGCAGATCATCGACTTGGTAGGTACTATGGCTGCTATACGTCTTAGATACCCGTTGTTTACCAACTATAAGGATGTCTGATCTATTTGTTATCTATTTATTTATTCAAATTTACAGAGTAAATCTGAGAAGAGTCAGCAACAGGATAGGATCCTTTAGCAAGGCTGGCTCCTCGATGAATCGTGGCAAAACTTTATTTTTTAATCCATTTTTAATTTTGTTGCAGGATGAAAAGAATGAGAAGCTCGTCACATCTGTTGCCATTGACTTCGTAAGTTGATACAGTTATAACACCAAAACGCGGGTTGTGTAAAATTTCGCCATAATTTTGTCCTTAAGAGACGTTGAAGACAATCGATTGTAATTTTAACTTGGACAATAAATTCACATTTGCTTTAGAAATGGCAGGACAGTCGTCTGAGATGGAATCCAAGGTATTTTGGTGGCGTCAAGACCCACAGCGTTCTGGGTAGCAGGATTTGGACACCAACCTTCATTGTGAAAAGAAAGTACGTAGCCCGTCTTGAGCTTAATTAACCTAATTGAATTGAAGTTAATATATGTTGAATATTATTTTGCACGACCTTAATATTTTTAACCAAATATTGGTGGAGTCTTCATCTAGATGACAAAAAGAAAATACTAAATTAGAGAGTTCGGAAAATATCGGTGGCTTTCCTGAATTTGTGAACAATTGAGTAAACGGTGTGGCGTATTTCAAATTAAACTCGGATAGAATTTGTGGAGGGTATAATGGCCTTGTCTCCTATTATTATTTTGCCTGCCAGGCACCTTATAAATCGTCAAAACCAGCTCCCGCCCTCTCTCAATCGTTGCCATGACACAGGATACATACAGACCTCCCTGCACGCCACCCTAAACAATACTTCCGTATCCAGTAGTAATTTATAATGACAGACAACCACATTGCATTGGTGTAGGTAAACTATGGCAATGTGTCCACTTCACCATGCCGACGTCACCTATCGAGGCCTACGACAAGACGTACCTGTTCGAGTCAGCAGTGATGGGCAGGTAGCCTGGAGTGTAGAAACCCTGACCACCACCCTGTGTGATGCAGACCCCTTCTTCTTTCCTGCAGACACCATGGAATGTCACATCTGTTTTTCTGCACACGCTGCTATTAAGCAAACTATTGGTAAGGCTTTTTACCTTCGCCAAAAAGATTATGTTTTCCATGTGCGTGTGTATTCTTGTATGTATGTATGTATGTGGTCTAGCACGATAAATTCTTGGTGAATTGCCATCAGACTTGGTTCACTGAAGACGTAAATGACTAGATTTTGGCCTGCCTGTTATAGTGCTACAGAGGAGTGTCTAGTTATGATATCTCGCGATCTGGACATGCTAGGATCATGGACTTTGTCATCAGGGAGAATATCTAACATGAGTTTGAGCCCTCTAGCAGTTCTAGTACTGGTACTGCAGGAGCATTTGTTTAAAAAATCTTCAAGGGAGGATAACTCGTCATTTTTATCATTTAGGTAGTTTATGTGATGCTTTACAAAATTAGATATCAATTATGTATGAGCTATGCCACGGTTACAGACGGGCAGATATTGATAATGTAAATGAGGACCCATCTTACATAATAAAAAAATTACATAATTTACATAATAAAACAAATTTGCATAATTAATGAAAAATGCCATAATTCTATAGTGGTAACTACTTGGAATTTAATACTTGCCATATTTGGAAGTTGAATGAAAGTGAACATCGCTTAACATAGTTTGTTCATTTTTTTTGCAAAATTTGCATAATTTATGAGGGAATACTACAATAGCCTTATTTCTTCTGATCAGACTCATTTTTAGAGAATATGAGCAAGTCAGAAAATTCATGTAAACTAGACTTTTTGCATAATTAACGCTGTATAATGAGTCAGTTTGAACAGTTACCCTGGTTTGGTTCAGGTATGATGTCGTGGACATTCTTTAAATTTCTATAAAATTTTGTTGTTTTCAATTTGTTTTAAGCTGCCTAAAGTAGGATTATACTTCGTTCAAGTAGGATTATATTGTCGAACATTCTTTAATAAAATTTATACATATACATCAACAAGCATAATCATGCTTAACACAGAATGCCAAGCCCAAGAGGACGGGTCTGATGAGTGCGACACCTTTTCTGCCGTGACATCTGAAGGCGAATGGTACCGAATGGACAAGGTGTTTGCTAAAGACAACAGGGAAGCGTGCTTTGTTCTCCACCTAGAGAGGGCCCCCATGTTCCACATCGCCACTACTGTAGGACCCTGCATCATCTTGGTTGTGCTGATGAGCATCACCTTCATCATGCCCTTAGACAGGGGAGACCGGATCGCGTTCGGAGTGACCATTCTCCTGTCCATGGTCGTCTCCCTCGTATTTGTGTCAGACGTACTTCCTGTCAAGAGGGTGTTGCCATTTTTCGGTGAGTGAAATTCAATTTGAGATAACTTGCTTTCAAAATTTTATCTTGAAAGTTCATCTGTGTTGGTAGAAATCATTATGAAGCAAGTTTAAACTGCAATTTCCAACACAACAATTTGGACTCATCCAAATTTTCGACTGTACAACTCCAGTCTTGTGTTGTTGGAATGAGCAATCCACCGCTTCCGTGACGTCACGCAGATAACACACGTGACTCCGTGAGCAGTGGATCATAGGTTGCAGATAGTCTGTGGCGCCCCCCGTCTCTGTTGAGGGATGGTTGTAAGGCCCTGATGTAGATGGCAGTTTAAACCTACTCCATAATGCTTTCAATTTTTTTTTTTTGCTTATGATGATTGTAACAAAAGGCTTGACATTCAAGAAAGTGTTTTCCATCTATAATGTTACAGCTACGGTGATCATCATCTGCATGGGCCTGATGGGATTGTTCCTGTTTGTCACCCTGGTCATCATCGTCATTCATGACCGGGAGGGCAGCCTGTCTCCGGCGGCGAAGATTATTTTCCTCCGCTACATGTCAAAGTACTTTCATTACGTTTTCAATTTTAACTCTCAAACCAATGTATAAGGTCGAAACTGACTCCAAGCATATATACTTTTTTTTGCCATTTTGACATTTCCTAATGTTAAAGACAAACCTTAAAGATCTACTAGTATATAGGTAATGAATAGCAGTGTGATGCATTGGCATGATTTTAACAGTGGCGTACTATTTTTTTTCTTATCAAGGATGCTGCTGTTGGGTGATCTGACAGCAAATAAGGAAGCAGACGATGAAGAGCCTGGCGTAACCAACCACGCCGCCATAGAACTGACCAACTGCGCCCATGGAGCCGATAACGTGTCGGCGGCCGACCAAGTCATATATTTCGGTGATGGCAATGGAAGGAACGAGCAGCCCTCAAAGCCTACAGGGGACCCTACCGGCCGAGGATCATCTGGCATTTCCGAGCTAAACGCCAGCGTTCAAGATTTGGACAACAAGATTGATGAGCTGACCAAGGCCGTGAAGAACGAAGAGAAAGTTTCTGACTACACGCTGCTGGCCAAGGTCCTGGACAGGCTGTGTATTGTCATGTACATCATCAGTATCGCAGCAACCGTTCCTATGTCCATGTATTTGGCCAAGTAAAAGTGTAGCAACAACCTCGATCCATAGACCGTATGCCACGTTATCAATTTATGATAAATGTCGTTTGATCCGACTTGTTGAACAAACAGGTATGCATTTGGAGCATTTTAAACAATGTTATAAGGATACCCGATACTTTTAACCCTCAACGGTCCACCTACCTGGACGGATTAATCTGTCACCCTGGGGTCCACGCGGACCCCAAAACAGTTTTTCTTGCTATTTTTTTTAGAAATTATAAGTATGATGCCAGCTCAATTGTTGTACTGAATTAATGTGTGAACCTCTGAGTCCACATTACGTACAAAAATCATACATTTTGAAGAAAACAAGAAATACCCGTCTTTTAAAGATTTTGAAACCCTATTCAGACCGAGTGGGGCTTTTGAGGCCCGCGCAAACTTTTTCATCTCAGATAGCGCCTAAACGGCTTGCGTTAGAATCATCAAAGATACATGATTTAATATTCATAATATATGCTAATTTGATAACGTCATCGGTCAAAATCCAAGATGGCGGACCATATTAGCTCTGGTGCAACCACGTTTTTTTTCACAGATTTTTCATCACAAGTCTGTATTTTTCTCTATAAAACGTTGATATGAACATCATTAGCCCATCTGCATTGCGTTTCGAGGCTGTATCTTGAAAAAATTTAAGTTGAAAACGCCAAGATCGACGATCGAAGACTTTTTTATTATGCCTGACGTCATTTTCGACGTAATTTTGACGGCAGTGTTGTTGCCAGTCTTAAGCGACGGTCACAACTCGCCGTGCGTGCTTTTTGTCCGTACGTTTTTGTCGTGGCTACGTCTGCTACGTTTTTTCTGCAAACGTAGGGTGGCCGGCCGAGGGAGTACGTCACTCGCACGGTTGCGCAAGGTGTACGTACGTGGTCTGCACGACACGCCTGGCCGTCAGCGGTTGCGTGCATCGTACGTTGCGCAAGTGGTAAGTGAGTTGTACGTGCTTACTACGCACGATCTCTGTGCGATTGCTACGTTGCCACGTACAGGCCATACCTACACGTGCGGCGTACGCACGGTTTCCTTACTCACTCGCACGTTGTAAGTGCGTGCACCTTCTGTTAACTTCATCATCACTAGCCGCCCTGGTGTCTTCCGCGGCCCGTTTCTTTGGGTCTTGTCTGGTAGTCTTCTTCTGAGCCTTCCTGGGCATCTTGGAGACGAGTTGGCAGTCGCCCGTCAAGATGTCTTTATATACTGTAGAGATCAGGTGCGTTGCACGTGCGTTGCACGTGCGGAGCACCTGGTATGGTGCACGTGTGTTCTGCGTGGTCATTGAGCAGGTCAACTGGGAAGTGAGGAGTAAGCACGGATGCCGCAAGCACCGTGTGTGGCACGCACGTGCTTCGTGCGCTGTCCGTACAGCAATTGCACGTGAGAATAGTGAAGTTAGACTCACGGAGTCCGTACGTTGCACGCTCATAGGCTGTACGGGGCACGCGCGTCGCACGTACTCGCACGCACGGGTGGTAAATCCGCAGACCGCACGTAGAAAAAGTATTACATGCACTTAAAGTTCTACGGCGTGTCTGCGTGCTCCCAAATCCGTAGGATTCCGTACGGAGGTGGTACTCACCACGCACGGATGCCGTACGATTGCCCACGTTTTTGCACGTAGACAGCACGCAGAAGCACGTACGGCGAGTTGTGACCGTCGCTTTAGTAGACCTAAATATTTCAACATAGATACTTAAGTTTAAATTTTGTTGTATTCCTCTGAGTTAAACGGAAAAAACAATTTTTGAAGATTTTACTCAAAAAATGACATAAATGAACAGAAATAATGTCACAATCCCGTCATAATTACATCAAAGTTGTTTTTATGATGCTATTTTATTACTACACCATTCTCTGAAGATTTGGTGTCCCTACGATAACTGTATGAAAAAAAATGTAAAAACGGAAATACAGTAATGTATAAGAGCGCCAGTGTATCCATTACGATCGAAAGACGTAGAAAATTAAATATAATTTTTTTAATGGGGGGAAACGGAATTTTCTGCATTGTGTAGAGGGTCAGCTATGTAGGTAACAAGTAACTGAAATTTAAAAAAAATGTAAACTTTAGAAACAAAAAAAAAAATATTACAGAATACATAGTGCTGTTTAACCCTGAACAGTATACGCCAGGTATACTGTTTAGGGTTAAAAACGTTATTGGATACCTGATTATTTTATTCATGTTATTTATCAAATTTAGCACTTGCTAATTTGGTGATTTACACAATTTTCATACAGTTTGGCTACACCTAGTTTTAGGGAGGAGATCATTAAATAACCAAAATCTAGTTCTTATCAATATAATTCCATGCATATCTTCGCATGTTATTACAGGAGATAGTATTTTATCCAGGTAGTATTGTATATAGCTCTTTGCCTGAATAATAAAGTTGAGGATCAGGTATTGTTATCTGCGTTTTCAAGAACGTATTTCCAAATCTTCTTGGAGCCTAATTCCTTATAAGCAGTTAAAATATTTGCTGGCGTAAATTTTATCCTTAAAAGGCATTTATTTAATGCAAGAGGTGGATGATTGTAAACAGTTCGTTGGGATGTTAACATGATATATTAGATCTTGTGTATACGTATACCGTGTGTAAAAACATTGAAGTAGTAGATGTATTAAGTTGTATACGTAATAGCATAAAGTAGAGAATCTTAATAGTTTCCATGGAACAAAACAATTCCTTTACTGTCAGTAGAGCTTTGGGCATTTTGTTTACCAGATTTTATATTAATGCATGTTTAAAACATTAATTCGTATTTGTTGTCATGGACAACATGCAAAACTTAAAAGCAAACTTTATTATGCCATACATCGTAGTTTATGCACTCTGCCGACTCGTAATATTGAAATTGATTGTGTTTAAAGATGACCCAAACATGAAATTTTCAAACGCACCAGTTGTGTTCAAATTGCCTTTTGGTGCAAGCAAAATTCAGTGTAACGTTTGCCTTTTTAGTAATTCGTCATTAATTTCTTTATAATTACATTATAGAGATGTTTTAAAGCATACACCAAACGTATAGGAGTTCCATACAGACCTCGGCTGTGGAATATGGTTTATCATCATGTTATTATTTGCACAGGACGTCAATCTAAATTCAGACAATCTAATTTATTATTACACTAATAATATTACGAGTCGCTTCTTATTTACACCTGATGCAGTGCACTTTTATAATAGCGTGTGTAATAGGAAAACAAAACTTCATCTTTACATCCTTTTCTCTTACGCTTAGTAGTTAATCAACTTAGTCATAATATCATAGAGATGGCCATGCAGCTAAAGTTAACTTGTGGCTGCTTGGATGTTCAGCAGGCTTGGATTTATTAGGGAATTCTTCATGTTCAACATAGCTTTCCGTAAACTCAGATTATACGTTATTGTTGATTTCAGCAATTAATGTTTTTTTTCTTTTTAGGTAAAGTCACCATGACTATTTAGACAAAACACAGGGTTAACGTGACATAATTTACTTGTCAATTCATGTAAGCTTTAAAATATATTAATGATGTAATATAATTATTTCTGAGCTAGATATTGCATTCGGCTTTGCAATAGTACGTGGTACCATTGTGGCGGAGGTATTTAAGCAATAGCTGATTTCGCATACTAAATATAGATACTGATGACATAGATGTACCTAGAATAGCTTATGCTCTCATTCATGTACCTACTTAAATTAGTACCAAAGCAAAAATTAAACAGCTGCAAGAAAGTGTGTTTATGCTGATGAGGAATTTCATTTTAACCAGCTCGATGGTTTTGGAACTTCAAAGTAGTGAAAGTTTGTAACTGAGGAAATTAGGACGCACTATTTGTCGGATGTGTACAGTCCAGTGTCGTGAGTAGTGCAGTCTCAGGTTTGCAGCTTGTAATTGACATAAACAGGGATTGTGGCTATTTTTCATGTAATGGAGAATAAATGTGCTTAACAAATCATATAAGGATTGTAGAATATGAATTAAATTGGTGTATGTTCATCACGTGGCCTTGTAAGACCCTCATGAATGCATTGTCCCCATTGTATTGAAAGAAAAAAACTTATGAATGAAACCTTACACACATGGAAATTCATAAAATTCTATCAAAGGTTGTCATCTAATTAATACTTTGATAATTTGGAAATTATAAAGACCTGTTATGCCTTGTGATGAGACTCGGAAACATCTGGAGTACTTTGTTTACGGAATAAAATGTGGTCATGGTGCACAGCGTCTGTTTTGGGTGTGCTTTTGTCATTTAACACTTGGGTCAACTTAACCCTATCTAGACCGGGGGGGGGGGTAAAAGTGCCCGCACCGACTTTGATGTCACGTAGAGTCTAAACGGCTAGCGCTAGAACGGCCAAACTTGGTGACTTTTCCTAGAATATTGTTGGCAACAATTCTCTATCATTGGAATAAGATATAAACTTTTTGTGTTGCAATGGCAACGGGTTTCTGACAGGCATTTTTTTTCAAAATTTAGTAATTTTCGTTTCAACAATAGAATTTTATGGGTTTTATGTCAAGTTACACATGGTTTCTAATATCAATAACATCCCTGATTTTATGTAAATTTTATAATTAAAAATGCATAATTCATGCTAATTTGATGAAGTCATCGGCCAAAATCCAAGATGGCGGACCATATCATTATAACAGGTATATGCAGGTTATTTTCCTCAAAATGTCATCAAAACTTCCATTTCTTTTTACAAAAAAGGTTCATATGAACGTCTTTAGTCTTTTTACAATGTATTTTAGGCTTTTTCCTGGCGGATAGCTTAAATATGCATGACGTCATTTTATGACGTCACCGGTGTTGCTTTGGGCGACATAAGACTTAGTACACCCTCATATTCTGTCATGAGCACTTTTGGTAAAGTTATGTTGTATACCATTTAGTTTTCAGGGTATTACGTATCTAGACGGTTTTGGCCAATAAGATCACATTACGTGATAATTTGATATCTATTTCTAGATATCTTGGGACTTGTCTGTGTTGCCTTCTTTTCTTGTTATTTTATAAATAATCATAGTATGATTTTACAACAAAATGACAAGTAAGACTTCAGCACAGTGGAGGAATTAGGGTCTATCACATAGGACAAGTACATGTATAATGTGTATTATATGATCCAGCCACTCCAATAATTTTCTGAAAATAATCCCGGTACCAAGAAATTTAATTGGAATGGCCTTATCATGGTATTTAGCATAAATATTTACATATCTTAGCAATGATGTGTACAAAATTTCTAATAAATCAACCATCACAAATTAAAAAACTCGTTGAGACACGTTATGTAGAACAGGAGAAAATTTGACTTCGCCGCCAGGAAGTCTACCCATCGTCCCTTGCGCATGAAACGAGCCTCGATCTCGTGATTGCCGCCATTTTCCCACCCATTTCCTTGCCACCATGATCCAATCATTAAACGAATGACATTTTATCACGTGACCTGTCGCTGCCAATCAACGCTCAATATTATCCATTCAGTCTCAAATTAGCTGCCAGGTGTTCAGCTGAATGAGGTACGTAGAATTGGCAAAGAAGAAAACATGAACCCCTGGACTCTCTCTCTCCTTCTGTTAGTGACCGTTTGCTGTTCCATCCTGGTAGAAGTTACTTCTGGTCTGGAAAATGATGACGCTGGTTAGTATTTTATCTAGTATACGAGTTTGTTTGTCTTTCTTGCTTGTAAAGTTATACTTGAAATGGTTGAATTTGCCTACCTGTAGTCAACCGGACTGAGTATCAATAACAATGACCAGATAGTTACATCTACTATATAGGATTGTTGAATCTAAAGGTTTGGAGTTTGAACACCATGGAGGCCCCGGTATTGCGCCTTTGGGAAGGGCATTTACAACTATTTTCGGTTCGATCAGGTGAAAATGATTACAACTGTATTTAGGAATGTCCTCTCGAAGAGGACGTAAAGTTCCCGACCGTGTTTGAGGAGAGCCACACACCGAGCACGTTTGAGTTTTTTTTCCCGTCTTTTCTATACAGGGTGGCCCATTAAGTGATTGCACTTTTTTCAATTGGGGCAATGTTAGAGATAGCAATATCTCACGATACTTATTGTAAAGGTAGACTAGATTTTAATCAAGGTGTGAGTAGGTCAAACCTTACAGTCCGGTCTCACACAGCCAATACTTTTTGTGGAAATTTCATTGAATTTTGATTCAATCTATTGTTGCGATCTTTGAACTTTCAGAAAAGAACGCCGACTTCCTCAGAGACAACAAAGCCATCAGGGAATACATAAAGAACGCAGATAATAGTGAGTACACAGGGCTCGAAATACTGGGTTCAAGTGCACCTTAGTGCACCCTAAATTGAAGTTGTGCACCTATTTTTTTTCTGTGGGTACACTGGTGCACCCAAATATTTTTGTGGGAATCTTAAACATTAGAAGTGTATAGTAGTATACCGGATATTCTTGTCCTCTAAGTATCGAAAAATATTAGAATGTTGTAGTAATTTTTAAGATTTTGAACTTAGCTCTCATTTTAGATTCAAGCTCAGAAGAGGAGCAGTAAGACCTGCAATTAGGTTTTGTTTTATATGGTGCACCCGACAAAAATTTTATGGACCTAATTTTTTAGGTTGGGTGCACCAGTGCACCTATTCCGAAAAATGACTGTTGAGCCCTGGTACATATACATTTCTCATATTTTTGGAATACATACACACGTTCCTAATACTAGCGATCGTGGTGACGAAACGGCAAGCGAGTGGTAGGCAAAAAAGCGGGTGACGGTTGGTTGATTTGCCTACCAATGATTTACATGTGCCTTAAAAAAATTTCAGTGTATATGATGAAAACAAAACAGCAGACCCTCATGTACCTACACATTTTCTTCGGGACGATAGGCATTATTTTCTAAGTGTTAAAGGGGCTTTATGTAACATTTTGCACCAAAAATTGCAAATAAACATTTCAATTTTTTGATTAAAATGTTTATTTGCAATTTTTGAAAATGTATATCCCCGTAATGATGCTGTACTTGCAGGTTTTAACATATTTGTGCAATCATCTCGTATTTACAACATTTATGGTTGGCACTAAAACAGCCCATACAAGGTTCACTCATTTTGTGGTGCCACCAAAAGTACCGACCTGTAAACAAACTTGGTTGATAGCTAATTATGAAATAAAGACTAAGCTTTAACTTCCAACACTTAGATACAGAATTGGGACTTACCCCAAACTTTCGGTTGACTCCATCAACCTTGTTCACGGAATGGACCCGTCTACTCTTGGAACGTGACGTCAGAGACACGTGACCGTAGTAGCGGGTCATACGTGCCAGATAACTTGTGTCGCCCCCCGTCTCTGTTCAGGGTAGGTCTGTGGGCTTTTATGTAGACCACCTCCTTAACTCCTCTTGCAAAGAAGTCCGATTCAGAATCAAGGGTTTTAACCCCTTCTAGAGATACTGAACGCTAAGGTTGATAGTTTTTTTCAAGCTTTAAATACTTTTGAATCCTCTGATTTCTTGTTATCTTGTTGTTCCGTCTACAGAAGCGAAGGCAGTTGAAGACATTCGCGAGAAGCTGCTCGCTGCTGGGATGAAGGCACGATCTAGGAGGTTCATGAAAAGAGCGCGGACTCGTTGTAAGTACGGCTAGCAATAAGCCAGCGCACAGTTTCAAGTGAGCATGTGTATTGTGATGCACGGGGATAGTTCAAAATTGTGAAATATATAAATTAAAATTTGAAATAACTATAGAATGATGGATTTTTCGCACAAATAAAGTGAAATATGTACATTTTTGAACTGTAAATCATAATAAATACCTAAAAAAATCAGATGAATATGGTTGTATAATTAAGGAGCTTTAAATTTCGATTTTTATGAACCTCCTTGGTATGATATAGATTTAATCTAATAAGAGAAATTCCACAATCCTTAAGTAGTCTATATCACTGTTTTTGTTTTCGAAACTTTAGTGATAACCAAGTGACAAAATATATACAAAATATACAAAATAAACACATACACATGAAATGAAACTTGCGAAACAGGGTTATCACTGGGTTGCTAGGTCCCAGAACTTTGTTTCTTTTAATTTGCACTTTTTTTTTCAATATTCAGTTGAGAAGCGCCGTGAAAACCGCAAGGAGCACCATGGAAGAAAGGATCTGCCCAGGCGCCGTGGGGAGTACGACAGAGGCTATGGTGGCCGCCGGGGAGGCTACGGTAGAGGCTGATACGCGACTATCACTGACGTGTACGTGAACATCATGGCTGGGGACCGAGCCTAACACTGCAATTATGTCTGTAATACCCATTGCAACTTACATCGAAGTTCTTCCACCATTTTCCCCAAAGTAAACTCTATATGATTCCGCCATTCGAAGGACATGTCGTGTCTAAAAAAGAATAAGTACAAAAATTCCGCATGTTCTAGTATTGGTGCCTCTTGTACCTCTGTGACTTTTCGAAACACATTTTGTCTTCCAAACATTTGAGATACAAAACTATCACTCCGAGTGTTGCCTTTTTTTAGTAACTCATCTTCAACATATGATTCTGCCACTAGAAGGACATAGTGTACAGTCAGTACAATGTATCTACGTATCCGAATACGTAACAATAATAAGACTGAGTTCCACGATCTCATACCTTTGCCAAATGATGTTAATCTTTATGACTGACAAAGTAAAGATTATTCCTCCTGGTGATGCAAATAGGATCCTCATTTGCACGAATTATATCAGTTGATCATATTCTCCACCAAAAGACAGTTTTATCTTAATAAAGACAGCCATTCTATCATGTCCTCATAAATTATGCAAATGAGGTCCTTATTTGAATAAGTTATGATTAATGATGTTCATGTTCACTTAACTTTCTTATTATTAAAATTTTCTTATTAATTATAAGCTACCTACATACCAAAAATCATGACGATCCGTCAACCGGTTCTTGAGTTATCCTCTTTTGAATATTTTTAATAAAACGCCCCTGCAGTTCCAGAGCAAGCTACTAGGGAACCCAAACCTACGTCACTTCTTCCCCAGCACAAGAGCTACCTACCATCTAAATTTCGTGACCCTAGCATGTCTAGATCATGAGATATTAAAACCGGAATTTCCGCTGCAGTACCACAAGCCGCCAGGGGGCCCAAAATTTAATCATTTTTAGGTCTCGTCAAGACCTACCCACCTACCAAGTATGAAGACAATCCATTATAAGCCTTCTCGGGTTATCGTGTTTACAGACACACAGGCACACAAACGAACGCCTCTGCAAACATAACCTTCTTGGCAAAGGTAAAAAGCAATAAAATATGCATGTTCTAATATGCATGTTCTATTGGTGCATGGTCTACCTCTGTGACAGAATTACCATTCCCAGACTTGCTATCTTCCTTACATTCAGGAAAACTCTTAACTTTGCCTTAAAGTTTTTATCTACTTTTTTTATTGACTCTGCCAACAAGAAGGACATTGTGTGCATTCACCAACATATAAAATCATACAAGTAATAAACATTTGCATACTCTATTGGCACAACGTCTACTGCTACTAATCACCATTCCTACACTTGTTATCTTCCACATATTCAGAAAAAAATACATCTAAATAACCCTTCAAATATTCAGGAAAACGTACATCTGGATACTTCCCTAAGTTTCATCAAGTAATTTAAAACTTGATATGATTCTGTTTACTTACTTGATATGTTATTGTTTACATGTACGTCAACATTTACGCATAGTGATGCTCATTTTGAACACAGCTGCACATGTCACGAGTATGAAATACCCATCATTTACCACCTGGAAAAATTGCATTATCATATTGATTGTGCAAATCAGACTTCATTTGCATAATTGGTGCCTGTCAATGTTCCACTTTCCATGCATTACCTATGATAATGTATTAAAGTTCCGTTTTAAAAAGCAATGCAATTGATTTTTTTTTCTTATTACTTAGGCAAATTTAGTACGTGTTACCTGGTATATATGGAAGCGTGCATGGCGTCAGGTGTTTTTTTTTCTTTGGTACTCTGTTAATGCGTCTTTTATTTTAGTCACAAAATACACATAAACATAAACATAAACATATAAGCATAAAGTGAAACCATCCAAGTGAAAGTCAAGTGAAACCAATATAGAATAAATATCATGAGTAAAATGATAATACATCAATTATGTACAAAGAAATCCCCGTTTCCCTCTGTGTTTTTCAATCTTCCCTTTCCTAAGCTTGTTGAAATGAGTCGTTCTGCTTTTTCAAAGAAAATTGTATATTTGATGAAAGATTCCAAACTAAATCTTTTAAACTCTCATCGGGTGTGTTTTTATCGTCGTTCGCACGTGCCTGGTAATCAGTTTGGGATTGGTTCATGTGTGGGTCGTCTGGGCAAAAAAACAAAAAACAAAGATAAAATATAGTCATTTTGGAAAAATATTGGGCCTTTAACATACAAAACGAACAAAATAAACTATTTGCCCGAACAAAAAAGTACAAAAAAGTTTAGAATATTACTAATGGGAACTATTTGCCTATATTATTGATATTATTATATTGCTGTTAATCGAAACTGTTCGGCCGGGCCGCGGTTGGAAATGTGACTCCATCATTAATAAAAAATAATATTATAAGGTAAAGAAATAGTTCTGGTTTGTAGTGGGGTCGTGTTGCGTAGCGGCAGAGTGCTCGACTAGGAACCAAGAGGTCTCGGGTTCGAGTCCTGACATGCCACCGATCTTGTGCCCTTGGGAAAGGCACTTTACACGACCCCTCACTTAGCTCAGGTGTAAATGAGTATTGTCCTGTCATGTATTTGTCCCTTGTATTGTTGGCGGCATTAATATAAGTTGAAAAAAACTTGAGTGTGCCGTCACCACGTCTGGTGATTACATGTTGAAATAGAAAAAAAAAGCTCTTCGGACCTGCATGTTTACAGTGTTTTTTTCGTGTTTAATGGTACATTACGAAACTGCGGAGTACTCCTAAAAGACTGCTTTTGCATTTGATACAAAGCAACAGGACTGATTGTCTGGACTGTACAACCTATGATATTTGGCCTTATCCGGTATGAATGGTTTGTTTTCAAGTTTTGTTTCTGATCTTCGATAGTAAAAGTAGAAGACTTCTTGTGTCCAAGCTAAGCCTAAACCGATTTACTGTTTAGGCCTAAACTGCTTTACTGTGAAGCACGTGTGTTACGCCGAAAGGGGGAGAAACCGGCAGAATAATGTACAGACTAATACAGAAATCGACAAACAACTTGCGCTGTGGAGGGACGAGGACGTGTTTTCACTCTGCAGAAACCTTGCGCGGCACCATGTCTGGAGGGCGGCGGCCGCGGTCCCATACTGGTAAAACAAACGGTAAGTAGCTTGTTTTGCACAACGGTTTTTATTAATCCTAGAAACAACCTCAAAACGGTCTTGTTAATACTCTTTTTTTTTACCTACTTTGTAATTCTGTATTTTGTCATTGCGTTTTACTCTCGTTTTATATCTTATATTTTGAGTAGAAGGCGTCACAAAAGCAATCTGTGCTTTTTACCTAACACTCAATAAATATATGTGATTAAAAAAAAGCATAACAGCTAACTCGTGTTAGTTTCAAACGTGTCACTGTGTGTAAATATTTTCCTTTTTCTGCCCGCTTGTTTTTTTGTTTTTGTTTTTGTAAAAGCGTACATGGCAATTTTACTTTCTTACGTCCACAAGAACAGTTAACAATATTACAAGGAGGTTAAAAAAACTCTTTGAATCGTTTTCGAGCAAACTGGCGCGATTGTACATGTGTAAATGCTCTCAAAACCCGAATACCTTTCATAATCCGCCTGCTTAATATGTAACACCTTTTTAACCTAAGACTTATTTAAGTGTTACCAGTATCCGTCTGTTTTGTTATCTGCTATGATATTAATTTGCACTTGAAACGTTGAATTAAAATTCTTTTGTTATGATAATGTTTTAAGTTTTCTGTCTAGCTCAATTGGAATGAACAGTGATTTACGTTCGTTGTCATATAATATACAGTAAAGCATAAAATGCGATTCATCTTCAATTATATGAATTCTCACAGAATTTGCTATATGCCTGCCAGATTCTATGTGTAGGGGATAGTCGCTAATACGGAGTTTGCACATGTGTGGCTCTGCCGTTGTCAAAATTTGGAATATCTAAATACGGTTCTCTGTCTTATATTACTTTGAATGTTTTGTACGTTCTCAGTTTGTTGCATTGATTTTCTCTTAGTCCATGTGCTGAACTGAATGTTGGATGAACATATCTTTTAATCTTTGTCTTAGTTCATGCAGATGGGATGGTTTGTTACTATCACCTCACCTATCCTATACTCATGTGTTTATAGGCAGGCATAGCCGGACTCCTCTTACACCATGTTCAACAACCAACAGGGTACTTTACTTCTAACAAGAGTTCCACGATCTCATACCTTCGCCAAATCATGTTAACCCTTGCGGGTGATGAATTATACAATTTTAATCATTGATTTTGTTAATAAGAGCCTCATTTGCATGGATTATATCAGTTGATCATATTTTCCACCCAATGACAGTCTTCTATTAACAAAAAGGCTATTATAGCACTTCCACATAGATTATGCAAATTAAGTCATTATTTGAATAACTTATGTTTATTGATGTTCACCTTCACTTAACTTCCAAATGTGGCAAGTATAAATTCGGGGTGCAGCAGTTACAACTATGGAATTATAAACATTTTCCATTAATTATGCAAATTAGGTCCTCATTTACATAATCTATATCCTGAGATGTTTTTTTCGTTCTCAAGTAGACGCCACAAGTGTTTCATAGTTCTATTATCGAACAAAGCAGATTTATAGAATTTCCTCATTAATTATGCAAATAAGCTCCTGATTTGCATAATTACCATCTGCTTATGTCAAGCATCACTTCAACTACCTACATACCAAAAAATCACGACAATACGTCAACCGGTTCTTGAGCTATCGTCCTTCAAATTTTTTTCAACAAATGCTCCTGCAGTTCCAGAACAAGGCGCTAGGGGACCCAAACTCATGTCATTTCTTCCCTACCCCAAGAGCTATCTACCAACCAAACTTTGTGACCCTAGCATGTCCAGAACATGAAATATCAAAACCGGAAGTTCAGCTGCAGTACCTAGGAAAGCCTCCAGGGGGCCCACAATCTAATCATTTCTAGGTCTCATGAAGACCTACCCACCTACCAAGTTTCATTCCAATCCATCCACTGCTTCTCGAGTTATCTTGCTAAACCACACACACACACACACACACACACACACACACACATACCCACAGACAAACGCTACTGAAAACATAACCTTCTTGGCGAAGGTAACAAGGTCTTTTTGTACAGTGTAAGGTCCGGACATACATGTACTAACGGCTTTCAATGGGAACATTTCTAACAAATCTATAATTATCATAATAGCTGTGCATTCTACAACACGCTTCAATCCATAGGGGGAGCAGCCAAGTACTTGCATAGTTACTATCGTTTCTTCT